GCGGAGCTTGCAGTGAGCTGAGATCGGCCCACCGGTGCACTCCCAGCCTGGGCTACAGCGCCGACGACTCCCACAAAAAAAAAAAATAAAAATAAATAAAAAATAAATATAAATGAAAATTAAAAAATACTTTTAAATTCTTTTTTTGGTTGCCTAGTGAGCTGCAACTGCCCCCGTCATTGAGTTTGTTCCAGCCTTCCAGTGCTAACCATTTACCTGTGTTATTTTGTATGTGCGCCTCTGTATCTATAAGGTAAATTCCTAAAGGCACTACGAATGGGGAAAATGGCATTTGTAATGTTGGGTTTCCTTCTCAGGGGTTTGTACCTCTGTCTACACTCCCACCAGCAACACATGAGATGCCTCTTCCCGCAAGCTTTGCCAACATCGAGTCTCGTGAAATTGTGGATCTTAACCAGTATAATAGGTGGGGAATGGTGTCTCTGTGTAGCCCTACTGTAATGCATTGATGCATGTCTTCACATGTTTGAACCGCCTGCCTTATCTGTGAACTCGCTGCTCAGATCCCTTCTATTCTTCTGTTCTTCTATTGGGAAATATAAGTCCTTAAATATAAGAGAGTGATTTGCCTTTTGTGATATAAGTTACAACTAGCATTTGTTTGTCTCTTGGTGACCCTGGGGACTGAGCCTCCCCAGGTGTGAGAGAACATCAGCCCTTGCCAGGTGATTGCTTTGTTTTCTGGCCCCTTCTGTGTTGGAGAATGGGACCTTTGTGGTCATGTAGTCTGACTGTGTCTTTTATTCATTGTTATCACACTAATGTTTTCTCTGTGTTGAGAGAATTACTACCCTCTGGTCTTGAATTGCCTGGTATCCAATCTCTTTTCTGGGAAATTGTTCCCTTATTCTGAGTGTATGCCTCAACTAGGATTAGATTACAAGCAAAAATCAGGCTAACTTGGAATTAAAATAAAAACCAAGCTGGTGTGGTGGTGTGTTCCTGTAGTCCCATCTTACAGTCGAGGCCATCACTTGAGCCCAGGAGTTCGAGCTTGTAGTGCTCTATGCTGGTGTCTGAATGAATAGCCACTGTACTCCAGCCCCAGCAACATGGTGAGACCCTGTCTCTTAAAAATGTGTATAAATAAAAGCCAAACCATTGACTATATTTCTTTTTTTTTTTGAGATGGAATATCCCTCTGTCGCCCAGGCTGGAGTGCATTCTTCTGCCTCAGCTTCCCGAGTAGCTGGGACTACAGGTGCACACCACCACGCCCGGCTCATTTTTGTATTTTTAGTAGACACGGGGTTTCACCATATTGGCCAGGCTGGTCTCAAACTCCTGACCTTGTAGATCTGCCCGCCTCGGCCTCCCAAAGTGTTGGGATTACAGGTGTGAGCCACTGTGCCCAGCCCATTGACTGTATTTCTAAAGGAAGAATGGACTATGATTTCTTAGGTTTGAATTGTGCTGGAAAGTTGAAAGGAGACAAAACCTTGGACTGCCTGTTGTGTGATCTGTGGGCTGCAGAGTAGCTCAGAACTTGAGGCAACCCAGCGCCACCTAGTGGATATTAAAGGAGGACAGGAATCTGAGTTTTGGTGAAAAAGGCTCCTAAGCTGTTGTTCGTCCCAGAGATGCTGGGAGCTATGTTTCTCTGGCAGGGGTCCAGGCAGTAGTATTCTCCCTGTACCCCATCCTTGTCTGGCACTGGCATGGCTCTGCAGCCATCCAGGAGCCCCTCTGGGCTGTGGCCTCCCCTCTGTCCTCATCCCATCAGGTCCATGGTTGGCCTTGAGGGTCTGGTCTGCGGCTGCTCACTCTTCTGCACTAAGAAGAGGAAATTGAGTTTCCATTACTGATCAGGTGACATAGGACACAGAGCCCCCTTTCTCCTGATGGTGACTTACTGCCAGATCTGGGAAAATTTCAGAACAGAACTGAAAGACCAGAAGCTGTGAGACTTAATGAGGTTGGAGATTGGGGTGGGATTTTTCAAAGAAATTGTTCCTGGTTCCTTCTTTTTTTCTTTTTATTTAAGACAGGGTCTCACTCTGTTGCCAGCAGGTTGGAACGCAATCTTGGCTCACTGCAACATCTGCCTCCCAGGCTCAGGTGATCCATCTCAGCCTCCCGAGTAGCTGGGACTATAGGCGCGTACCACCACTCTTGATTAGTTTTTGTAATTTTTTGTGGAAATGGGATTTTGCCATGTTGCCCTGGCTGATCTTGAATTCCAGGACTCAAGAAATCTACCCGCCTTAGCCTCCCAAAGTGCTGAGTTTATAGGCATGAGCCACCATGCCTGGCCCCCAGTTGCTATATTTATTTATTTATTTGAGACGGAATCTTGCTTTGTCACCCAGGCTGGAGTGCAATGGCATGATCTTGGTTCACTGCAGCCTCTGTCTCCCAGGCTCAAGCGATTCTCCAGCCTCAGCCTCCTGAGCAGCTGGGATTACAGGCGCCTGCCACTATGCCCGGCTAATTTTTGTATTTTTAGTAGAGATGGGGTTTCTGCATGTTGGCCAGCCTGGTCTTGAACTCCTGACCTTGTGATCCGCCAACCGCGGCCTCTCAAAGTGCTAGGACTATAGGCGTGAGCCACCGTGCGCAGTCCCCAGTTGCTATTTTAATTAAAGCTTGGGTTATGGTGTGGCTGAATAGCCTGTTGGCCCTGTCCTGCGGGACCTAACATCTGTGAATATAGTCTGGGAATGTGACTCTCTCAGGAGGCCACCCCAACACTTGTGCCAGACCTAGCACTTGTGTCTCCCTGTGGAGCCCAGTGGCCTCGGTGACAGCATGTCACTCATTCATATGACCATTGAATTGTGTCTCCCAGGAGGGCAGGGATGTCTCTTCAGTTTCTGCAACATAGCCCCTACACTCAGCCTGTGGAGGAGCACAGCTCATCCACTAGGGTCGACGGAATGTGTGGTTGGGAATAACAGCAGTGTAGGTTTATGGAGTGTGAAGAGTGATTTGCTGAATGGTTCTCCCAGTTAACAGGACCTGTGGTGGGGAGCGCTGTCCAGGGTCTGGCTGGGTAGGTGGTACTTGGTGCGGAGCCTTGCATTGCGAAGTGTTGAGAGCAGGGTTGGTCCCATGGACCCTCTGTGAATATCCTGAGAGTTTTCCATAAAAACGAACCTGTATATAAACTTTTGTTTGAAATTTCAACGTAAGCTGTTTGGAACCCACATAGATCTTTTGGGTTATGCAGCATCCCACTACTTAGAGTAGGAAGCCGGGCCCATCCTTGGGACCAGAGTATGCAGAGGTGTGTGGGATAGCTTCAGAGGTCCTGTCCAGTTCTAAGGTTAGGAATGGATACTTTCTCAGAGGCTAAAAGCTGAGGGGACTAGAATAAGCGTGTGCACATTTCTGTCTTGGAGATAAACGGCGAGAGTGTGTTTGAAGCCAGCCATTCCCTTTTGCACAGTCATTGTCAGGATGCAGGGCTTTGGCTGGGGCACTTATCTCCTGTCACAGACTGGGCTGGACCCTCTTGGCTGGCCCAGAGCTGTGTGAGGGGCTGGATAAGCCTTGAGGAGGACAGTGTTTTCCTCCAGAGTGTTTTCAGACCAAACCATTAAACACCTTGCAAATAGAAGTATAAGCTCGGCAGGAAACCTTTCAGGGCCCAATCCCTACTTTTGCTAAGCGCTCTTGTCTTAAAGCTGCAGACTTAAAAACAGGGGCAAACCTTTCTCTTCCCTCCTCTTAACAGACTTTAGTGCAGGTCCTGGCTTACCCTCTTGCTGTGGGGGATTTACAGGCTGGAGGCTGGGCCGGCACATTTCCCGAGCAGTCGTCTCTCTGACATGTTTAGGGAATTTGCCCAGGTCTGCCCATGGCCCTTGGGGCACTCCTGGTGGCAGCACTTGTCACCGCTCTAGGGAGCTGGGTTAGTTCATAAAGAAGCACCAGCCTCAGTGCAAAGTGCTCTGAGGGAGAAAGCAGCAGGTGGGTGAGCTGATGCCTGGGAAAATGGAGTAAAGTCCACGTGGAAATTAGAGGAACCAACATGGCATGTCTCTGCCAAAGGAGAGGGCCCCACGCCAGTGTACAAAACAGACCGCATGACTGCAGCTCCAAGGACAGCTGACATGATGAGGGCAGCAGAGGTGACCAAGCTGGAAAGTCACTAGAAGAACCTTGATGTGTTCTCCCTCTTGCCCTCATTTCTCCATACCCATACCACTTGTTCCTGGCTTTCCATGAGGTGTGTTCCAAGCCCCTATTCCTTTTCCTATAACTCTCTCCAGTTTCTAATGCTCCATACAATTTGATTACAATTATGTGTCTTTTTAAGAAAACTTTAATTTCAATTTTTTTTGAGACAGGGTCTCGCTCTGTCACCCAGGCTTGAGTGCAATGGCGCACAATCTTGGCTCACTGAACCTCTGCCTCCTGGGTTCAAGTGGATTCTCCTGCCTCAGCCTCCCAAGTTAACTGGGATTACAGGTGCCTGCCACCAACACCCGGCTAATTTTTTTTTTTTTTTGAGATGGAGTTTCACTCTTGTCCCAGGCTGGAGTGCAGTGGCACGATCTTGCTCACCTGCAACCTCTGCCTCCCGGGTTTGTAGTGGTTTTCTTTGCCTCAGCCTCCCGAGTAGCTGGGATTACAGGAATGCACCACCGCACCCGGCTAATTTTGTATTTTTAGTAGAGATGGGGTTTTTCCATGTTGGTCACGCTGGTCTTGAACTCCCGACCTCAGGTGATCCACCTGTCTCGGCCTCCCAAAGTGCTGGGATTATAGGCTCAGTGAGCCACCGCACATAGCCAATGTGTCTTTTTAAAAAATTTTAATTTCAATTTTTTTTTGAGACACGGTCTTGCTCTGTCACCCAGGCTAGAGTGCAGTGGTGTGATCTCAGCTCACTGCAACCTCCGCCTCCCTGGTTAAAGTGATTCTCCTGCCTCAGCCTCCTAAGTAGCTGGGATTACAG